AGCATCAGAGACCTTCTGGGATGATGCAACCGTTAGATATTCTGGTTTGGAAGTGGGATTGTATTGCTATGGACTTTGTTACAGGTTTGCCGAATACGGCGAGAGGATTTGACGCTATTTGGGTGATTGTGGATCGGCTTACGAAGTCTGCACACTTTGTACGAATCAGTATTAGCTTCCTGTTGGAGAAGCTGGCAGAGATTTACAATCGGGTAATTGTGAAGCTGCACGGTATACCGTTGAGTATTGTGTCGGATAGAGATCCGAGGTTCACTTCTGTGTTTTGGAAGAGTTTACAAGAGGCTTTGGGTACCGAGTTGAAGTTGAGTTCAGCTTATCATCCGCAGACGGATGGGCAGTCAGAGCGGACTATTCAGACTTTGGAGGATTTGTTGCGGGCTTGTGTGTTGGAGAAGGGGGTACGTGGGATACTCATTTGCCTTTGGTAGAGTTCACGTACAATAACAGTTACCATTCCAGCATCGGGATGGCACCGTTTGAGGCTCTTTATGGTAGGAGGTGCAGGACTCCTTTGTGTTGGTATGAGTCGGGTGAGCGTGTTGTGTTAGGACCAGAGTTGGTACAGCAGACTATTGAGACAGTGCAGATGATCCGTGAAAAGATGAAAGCATCTCAGGATCGGCAGAAGAGTTATTATGATAACTGTAGGAAAGAGTTGGAATTCAGTGAGGATGATCACGTATTCGTGAGGGTTAACCCAGTGACGGGTGTTGGACGTGCTTTAAAATCCAAGAAGTTGGATCCGAAGTTTATCGGACCGTATCAGATTTTGCAGAGGATCAGTGCTGTGGCTTATAGGGTGGCGTTGCCGCCGGAGCTTTCAAACTTGCATGACGTGTTTCACGTGTCGCAACTTCAGAAGTATGTGCACGATCTGTCTCATGTGATTCAGAGGGATGAAGTCCAAGTTAGAGAGAATCTGACTGTGGAGATGTTGCCGTTGAGGATCGAGGATCGCAAGATGAAGCGACTCAGAGGGAAGAGATACCGTTGGTGCGAGTGGCGTGGGGAGGTGCTGCAGGAGGCAGTGTGACCTGGGAATTGGAAAGCAGGATGCGGGAAGCGTATCCAGAACTGTTTTCATCAGGTATTTTCGAGGACGAAAATAATTAAAGTGGGGGAGAGTTGTAATGCCCATTTTTAATTATTTTTAGTTCAGTATTATTTTTATTCGCGGATGTGGTTGTGTGGTATTATTGGAGGATCAAAAGAAATCATAATATTAATATATAGTGATAAAATGTGATAATTAGTAGTAATGTTAATATTGCTATTAATTATTACTATTATTATTACTAATATTAATATATATGATTAAAAATATAATTATTGGATATTTGGAATTAAAAAGAAAATGAGATTATTAATATAATTGGAATAATAAGGAATTATTTGGGAGGAGGGACAAAATTGGCATTTGTGAAATAGAAAGTGAAAGAACAAGAGAATAACACGGTTTGTGAAGAGGAGAACACGGTTGAAGCATCAAGAGCGATCAAGAGCAGGAAAGAGCGCATCAAGGCTGCGGATTGTGAAGCTCAATCATCATCATAATTTCATTCGAGGTAAGGGGGGGGGGGGGGAATAATCGGTTAAATTCGGTATTACACGAATATTGGTAGAAGGGGGAATCCCTAACCCCATGTATGAGTATATTTGCATGTTGATGATAATCTGATGTCGATTGCATGCTGTTATTGATGTGAATATGGTATTGTTTGATGATCAATTCATTTGCATGTGCTGAGAAATATTGGGTTGAATGAATTTGGGGTGTTGAGTAATTTCGGAGTTATGCCGGAAGTCGGTGAATTAAGCAGATGATGCGTTTTATCGGATAGAATCAGGAAATAGACCCGTAGTTCAGTTGTACTATGTTGTTGGTCGTGGGTTTCGATTTAATCGGGCGAAATCGGTGGGGGAGGCGATTCTGCAATGCAGAATTTTTTTGTGTGCGCAGGTATTCGCTAGGCGAATGAGGGCGAGCCTTCGCCAGGCTTCGTCGGGCGAGCTAGCCAGCGAGTGCTGGCAGAAGCTTCTGTTTGGCTTCGCCAGGGGTTTCTCCAGGAAAATGGTAGCGAGTGTTCGCTGCGGGGCTTCGCCGGGCGAATGCGCCAGCGAGCCCGACAACAGTTTGTGTTTTGCTGCTGTCTTGTGTTGTTCCTCTGTGGACTTGGACACTCGTTGGTCATGTGTGACGAGAGGCTTGTTGGGGAGCTGGTGCGAGCGTATGTTGGTGGTTGTAGGGCTGTTTAGTCGGTGTTTATCGCAAGTGGCCTAATTGGTGGAGTACGCATTATGTATGAACCAATGTGGATGCGTGCGTGAGATATGTGCACCGTATGCGTGCTGTGTGTGAGATGTGAGGATCAGTATGGTCGTGGCGCCTTGAGTGCATTTTTGTTGGTGTGTTGTGGTGAGTGGATCCGGGAGGATCGATACGCTTTATATGCGTTGTGGTTAAATACTGTTGTGTGATGGATTGTGATTAGTAGGATCGATATGCCTAATGTGTATTGTATTGATGTGTTGTTGTTGTGGATTGGGTCAGTAGGACCGATATGCCTTAGGTGCATGATGTGTGATATGTTGTGTGGTGAGTTGATCAGTAGGATCGATGCACTTTGTGTGCTTGTGTATGTATGCAGATTGTGATGCGATGGACCAGTGGGGTCGTGTGCACTATGTGTGCTGTGTGTTTATGCATAGTGTCTTGCATAGCATGTGAACGTGGTGAATCGTTGCTCGGTGGAGCGTATGCGATTCACTCACGTGCTCCAAATGGGGAGCGTGTGGACGTGAGGCCTGTGTGGCTCACGTGCTCCAAATGGGGAGCGTGTGGACGTGAGGCCTGTGTGGCTTACGTGCTCCAAATGGGGAGCGTGTGGATGTGAGGCCTGTGTGGCTCACGTGCTCTAAATGGGGAGCGTGTGGACGTGAGGTTTTGATGTACTCACGTGCTCCAAGTGGGGAGCGTGGACGTGGTGTATGATAAACTCACGTGCTACAGTGGGGAGCGTGGACAGGAATTTGGATCGTTGCTCGGAAGGAGTGTATGCAACCACCCGTGTCCCAAGTGGGGGACGTTGATATGTGATTATATGAGCTCAGGAGAGGCGTGGTAGGGATAGATCGTTTCTTAGAGGGAGTGTATGCGATCTATCCTGAGTTGAGTCGGTACCGCATATTGTCGAGTCGAGTGCATGTGTTGCATTGTCGTTGTGTGTATGTGATTGTTGATGATGGGACAGTAGGCCCGGGTGTAAGATATATGAAATAATTAATTTATTGTTTCTGCCTTTTATTTCATGTACGTTTATACCGTTAATATTTGATTGTGATTCTCACCCCTTTGTTGTTGTTGTGGTCTGTGCTTCTTCGGAAGTACAGACAATCCAGGTGTTTAGCTAGCTTGGATTGTGGTGTCTCTGTAGGACTGCTCTGATACGTAACACCGGGGCGTTTTGGGAGTTTATGTGTTTATTTGTTGATTTTGTATGCCCCAGTGGCGTATCTAATTTTGGGAGATATGTGTTGACAGTTGATGATACTATATATGTTTTGGGGCGGTTAGCCGGCTGATGTATATGACGATGTTGATGACATGATGTATATGTGTTATTTCGATTTGTGACAGACTATATATATATATATATATATATATATATATATATATATATATATATATATATATATATATATATATATATATATATATATATATATATATATATATATATATATATATATATATATATATATATATATATATATATATATATATATATATATATATATATATATATATATATATATATATATATATATATATATATATATATATATATATATATATATATATATATATATATATATTTTCCGCTGCAGTTTTATTGAGAAAGTAATTTGGAAAAAATGATTTATGGAATTTGTTGGAAATTGTGACATCCCGCTTGGGAGAGAAACTCTGATATGTGCTTATTTAATTGTTTTATTTTATTTCGGAAAACGGGGTGTTACAGTTCCTGGTCGTGGTTCAAGGCAAGTAGGGGTGTTCATGGGTGCGGGTCGACCCGCAAACCCGCCTACCCAAACCGAACTAACCCACTAATTACCCGGACCCATTCATTTACGGGTATACCCGACCCAACCCGTAACAACTCGTATAGATTTGGTTCGGGTATTGGGTTTTAGTTTCTAAACCCATGAACCCGTTGACCCAACCCGTTGACGTGGCATAATTAATTATTATTATTATTATTATATTATTATTTATAAATTTTAAAGTTGCTATAACTTTGTAAATTGTAACGTACACAAAGATCTTTTGCACTTTCCTTCCAGTTTCCAATCACACATTAAATTATTATTATTATTATAATTAAACATTATTATTATTATTAATCATGCTTGCTTGACTTATGCACTTCTAGTTTACACTTTACTGCCTTTTTATTTTTTTAATGAATCTTTATTAACTAATAATAATTAAGTATATATTAGAAACTTACTAAACTAAAGACAATACCACTTAACCTAACCCTATTTTTTTACTACGGCAAATCTCAAACGTCACCGCTCCTCTTTCTCTCACGATTTTTTTTTCATTTTACTCTCTCACATTCCAATTCCATCTTGCTTTCGAAAATCCACAGTCTATACTTTAACTCTCTCATAGTTTCGTCTCCATATTGAATAAGGTTTTATACTTTTTATAGTTCTACAATATATTTATTTCAATGCAATATGTTGTTTTTACAGTATGTACTTCAATAGTTTTATATCAATGCAAAATATGATGATAGGTTCAATGTAATGTACTATTTTGTTTCATATGATGCAAAGTACTATTTTGTTTCATATGATGAAAATATATTTTGATGCAAAGTCCTGTTCTGTTTTATATTATTAATTTAAATATATTTTGTTTAATGTTGTTTTAATAATAATTTATATTAAAAATTGTTTTTTTATAGAAAATGGAAGTGGAACAATCACAAATTGTCAGTGAAGATGTTGCTCATCCACTTGAACAAGAGCAAGAAGTTCAACAAATACAAGGAGAAGGGTTGTCATCATTGCCACCAAGTGCACTAATAGAGGTAAGCAAAAGAAAACCCTCTAGAAAACCTTCTACAGTTTGGAAAGATTTTAAAAGGGTTAATGATAAGGCTATATGTAAGTATTGTGGGAAACAATATGCTGCAAATAGTGGTAGTCATGGCACTACTAACATGCATAAACATTTGAAAGTGTGCCTGAAAAATCCAAATAGGGTAGTTGATAAGAAACAAAAAACTATAGCTATTGGAAAAGAAAGTGAGGATGATCCTAATAGTGTTAGCTTGAAACTTGTTGATTTTAATCAAGAGAGGACTAGATTAACACTTGCAAAGATGATAATCATTGATGAGCTCCCTTTTAAATATGTTGAAAATGAAGGATTTAATATGTTCATGAAAGAGGCTCAACCAAGATTCAAAATTCCATCTCGTGTCACTGTTGCCAGAGATTGTTTATGCTTGTACTTCGATGAGAAAGAAAAATTGAAATCTATGTTGTCTGCTAATAAACAAATGGTGTCTCTTACCACTGATACTTGGACATCGATTCAGAATATGAATTATATGTGTGTTACAGCTCACTATATTGATGACGAGTGGAATTTAAAGAAGAGTATATTAAGCTTTGGTATAATTGCTGACCATAAAGGTGAAACTATAGGGATAACATTAGAGAATTGCATGAAGGAATGGGGTATCAAGTCTATATGTTGTGTGACTGTTGATAATGCAAGTGCTAACAATTTGGCAATTGATTATTTAAATCGAGGCATGAGTTTTTGGAATGGTCGTACTTTGTTTAATGGGGAGTACTTGCATATGAGATGTAGTGCTCACATATTAAACTAGATTTTAAGGTATTTTCTAGTGTTGTTTTTTTCTTCTTCTTTTGACTATTGTTGCTTAAACTTTTAACTGTTGTTGCTGGATTTTATATTGTTGCTAAACGTTTCATTGTTGTTGCTGGAATCTTTTACAGCTATTGTTGCTGGATTTTCTGTTGTTGCTAAACCTTTCACTGCTGGTGCTGGAATCTTTTATAGTTGCTGTTAGATTTTGGTGCTATTAGACCAATATTGGACCAATACATCTATGTCATTTTAAGACTAAGTGATGTTTATTTGCTTTTGAATTATTTAGAATTTATGAATTTTATGGAAATGATATTTTATGGAATTTTATATATTATTAAGTGTTAATATATATGATAGTTTACGGACCTACTTTTAAGCATGTGCTAGAAAAGGTAACATTTGAGTATCAAAACAACTAATATATACTGTATATTATTATATATTTGTTTTACATATGTTGATATATATTTGTAATGGATAACATTTGAGTATCAAAATAACTAATAAATTTTTATAAATTAAGGTATATTAATGAAAATATATAAATAATTAATGGTGTATATGTATCTTAATATTTTTTATGACAAAGAAAATACATTTCAAAATTTTAATTGTTATATTTTTAATTATTCTATTTTATATGTAGGATTTGTCTCCACTACGTAAATAATTTAATTGTTTGAAATATGCAAAATTATATTGAATTGTGTTATAGATTTTTTAAATTGAAAATAATAATTATTATATACACAACCCGTGGATCCAACCCTACCCAACCCGTAAATATCCGGGTTGATTCGGGTCGGTTTTTAAAGTAGAATTACGGGTTTGATGATAAACCCAACCCATTGAAAGTTGAACGGGTTGGGTAACGGGTTAAGGCGAACCCGGTCCAACCCAACCCGCGTACACCCCTAAAGGCAAGGAGATCCATTGTCTTTGTATCTTTTCATTCTATGTTTTGAATGTCTCTCAACACTTATTAAAAAAGCTGAAGATAGTGGGGATATACATGGCATCAAAATTTATAAGAATGATCTTATTATATCTCATCTTTTGTTAGCTGATGATTGTTTCCTAATCTTTTGAGCTGATGTGAAGGAAGCGAATATGTTGAAAAATCTTTTTGCAACTTATGAAGAAGCCTCGAAAAAAGCCATTAATCTTCAAAGGTTAGAAATATTATGTAGCACAAATGTCTCTAATAATGTAAAGTGTGAGGTAGCTAATATTCTAGAGGTTTAATAGGTTTTGGGAACAGGCAAATATCTCGGTCTTCCGTCCATGATTGGAAGAAGTAGAAAAGCTAATTTCCAATTTATTAAGCAAAGAGACTAGGAAAAGATAAATTATTTGAGTAGTAAGTGCCTTTCTCAGGCGGGAAGAGAGACTCTTGTTAAATATATTTTTCAATCCATTCGTTTTTATGTCATGAGCATTTTCTTATTGATGTCCTCTTTAAGTGATGAAATTGAGAAAATGATTAACTCTTTTTGGCAGGGGTGTAACAAGAATTGTGCTAAGGGTATTCATTGGTTATCTTGGGATCGTTTGTTTATGCATAAGAATGATAGAGGTATGGGTTTCAAGAATTTAAGCGCCTTTAATTATGTTTTGCTTTGTAAACAACCTTAGAAGTGTATGACTACTCCAAGTAATCTTATCACATATTTATTCAAATCTAAATAATTTTTTATACGTGATTTTCTCGAGTCAACTATTGGATATAACCCTAGTTATGTGTGGAGAAGTATTTGGAGTTTTATGTTTGTTGTGAGATGAGGTTATAGGTAGATTACTAGATCAGGAGAATCTATTTCGATTTAGGGACACAATTGGTTGTATGACAGTTCATTGTTGGAGAATCCTTGGCCATCCATGGCGATCGTATAAAAGCTAAATCTCTCTGATTTGATGGATACATATGGTAAATGAATGGAATTTCAATTTGATTCATATGATTGTTGGAGAAGCATAAGCAGAAAAGGTTCTTAAAACTCCCTTTATTGAAGTTGTTCAGGTCGATAAAAAGGTGTGGAAGTTTAAGAAGAATGACATATATTTAGTTTGCAGTGCATATCGATATTGTGTAGAAGAGGCTATTGAAACAAATCATCTTAGAGTCCATGAGAATTGAGAGCTCCTTTGGAAAATAAAAATCCCTCCAAGGGTAAAAAAATTGGCGCCTTTATAGAAACTGTGTGCCAACTAGAAAGTGGTCGATATATAGAGGTGTTCAATGCCTAACCTACTGTGGTGTTTGTGGAGAAGGATTAGAAGATGATAAACACCTTGTCTTCTATTGTACAAAAAGTATTGTGTGTTGGGAGCTAGTGGGATTATGGCATATTATTCAACAGGTGGCGAGAGATAATATCCCATTCATATCTATCACTTCCTCTCTTTTGTAGGATTTAAGTAAAGACCAATAAGCTTTGGTATTAGCCATTATTTAGAGTATTTGAAAGGGCAAGAGTAATCATATTTGGAATCATATTGAAGAGTCAGCATAAAAAATTTGTGATGGTGCCTCTTAGCTGCTATTGGGATGGAGAAATGCTCAACATCTCTATGCAAGAAAATATATCCAAAGTGAAATCCATATGAATAATATATGGATAAAGCCTTATGCAAGCCGTCTCAAATGTAACATAGACACATCTTTCTCAACGAATTTCAACAAGTTCAGTATAAGTATTTGGGTTCAAGATGAAGAGGGGAAATTGGTGGTAGCTAAAACATAGTGGATGTCACCAATTAATGAGGTTGATACGAGGGAGGCTTTAGGCCTTCTAGTTGCCATCAAATGGGTGCATGAGCTTCATTTAGATGGAGTGGATTTTGAGGTAGATTCAAAAAGTGTAGCGGATAATGTGAATAGCCAACAACAAAATTTGTCAAAGTTTAGCGAGATTATCAAGGAATGTAAATGCTTACTAGCCCGTTATTTAACAAACTCTCATGTTAATTTCATTAGAAGGCAAGCTAATGAATTCGATCATGCTTTAACAAGGGTGACTCTATCTCTGGCTAGTTTTCATAATTTTATTGATATCTCAACATGTATTCAACAATTTCTTATTAATTTTATGAATTAAGTCTTTTCCCGTAAAAAAATTATGTTTTCAACTCATTAATGTTTATTAGCCTTTAACTTGGAGTAAATTTTCGCGTTCCTAATAATGAACTGAAATTGGAGTAAATTATCTCTTTCCTAATAATGCGTTGAGACAAAAAAAAAGTAAAATATTGAGAAAAAAGAGATAGATGAGGTTGTATTCATAAAATTGATTGTGAATTTTTATTTATCAAGCATTTTAGTGATGAATTTAAAGTGCAACAATTGCATCCATTCAAAATAGTAAATATTCATTTCTCCCACTACTTTTTAATATGTATTGTAACACCCGAGGCCAAAGAGGGCAGGGAGTGACTGTAACACCCGAGGTCACAAAGGGTTGGGAGTGGTCGCCCGAATTCACATTGAATGAGAGGATCTTAGGGTTGTGCAGGTATGAGACTGCATGGTTGAAGAAAGACTTATAAGGATTGATTGGTACTACCTATACCAACAAGATACATCTTCTTTTCGATAGCTTAAAAAATAAGAACTCCATAGTTAATCTTCCTTGACTTTGAGTAGCATTTGGATGGGTGACATTCTGGGAAATTTCCTAGAAAGCGTGCGAGTGAGGACAAAACATATTAAAAAGACTTGTGTTAGTTTGTGGATTCATCGGTAATCCTGAAAGCAGTTTAGGGCGTTACAAATGGTATCAGAGCATACCTCTCTTGGTACGATGTGGTTTGGGGATGAACTAAGCGGAAGCTGGTTGGCATGTAACACCCGAGGTCGAAGAGGGCATGGAGTGGTTGTAACACCCGAGGTCGAAAAGTATGAAGATTGGTCGCCCAAATTCACATTGGAATGAGAGGATCATGAGGTTGTGCAAGTATGAGATTGCATGGTTGAAGGAAGACTTATAAGAATTTATTGGTATTATAACGCCTCAGACTTTTGGTCCAAGATATTATTTAAGAAATTAATTTTTTTACTTTTAAAATAAAAATTTATATTTAAAAAAAGTTTAATATTTCTTAGCAGAGCAGAAACTAACTCAAAATTTCTAATCCAGGCTAACATAAATAAATTCAAATTTAGATATTCTATTTTATTTAAAATTAAATTACAATTTCATGTTTGAAAATATATTTTATTTAAAGTAAGAAAATAAGTTCGATAAAAATCTATTTTTGTCCCCACAATCATGTACAATATCGAGCCATTTTCACTTCGAATCTTCAAATTTGTTAGTACCTAAAATGTTGGTTGTAAGAAGTCAACTTTCATAATCCACAATCATACAAAATTAAACTAGACAAAAAATTAAGAATTAGAAGAATATCAATATATAATTTATTTGCCAAAATGGACTAAATAGAATATTGTCAAAATTTTCAACATTAGATAACAAAATATAACAAAATATTGTTCTCAAATAATTGTATATCCACATAATTAAAATAAATATTTATTATACTTTAAACAAAAATAAATTATAATACCCACATATAAATATATTTTTATAGTCAAATTTTGATATTTACCATTCACATATATCTCAAAATATAAATCAATAGACAAAATCTCTAAAATGAAAAAATATATTTTTATAACTACATGATCTGATATAATTAACCTGTTACTAAGGCACTACACAAAATCTATCTCATATAAATGGAAAAAATAACTCGCCAATAAGACATCACACAGAAATACATATGCATATCATGATGATGAAATGCAAGCACACTATTAAGACAAATCCCGCCACAGAAACAATCATAAAGTCCAAATGATAATACATCATCATACACATGACTAAAATCACAAATTTTAATATACTATTTTACAACTTTAGAAAACAACATTTAAGCACACACCACTTAGCAACAAACAATCATATAGTTTATTATTCTAAACAATAACATTCC